TAAGAAGTTCAACACCGACTTCTACGTGCTCGACAAGTTCCCCCTGGTAGCGCGGCCGTTTTATGCTTTCCCCGACCCAGAGAACCCTGAGTTCAGCAACACCTACGATTTTATGATGAGAGGACAGGAGATCCTGTCTGGTGGTCAGCGTCTGCATTTGCCGGAGGAGGTGGAGAAGGGGATGTTGAAGAAGGGCCTCGACCCCAATAGCCCTGGCCTCAAGGCGTATGTTGACGTCTTCAGGGGTGCGGGTGTGCCTCCTCACGGCGGCGGGGGGATAGGGCTGGACCGCGTGGTGGCGTGGTACCTGCAGCTTCCGAGTGTGCATTTGGCGTGTGCGTACCCAAGGACGCCCAAGAGATTGGGCCCGTAGTTGGGTGAGAGTGTTGAAGGGGCACGGTCAGATAGGGGTTATGCACGGTATCGTGGGCCAAAGAATATGATCTCCATAGATCTGTCAAGTATAAATCATGAATAGGCGATCTTATGATCATCTAATCACTTGAAGGCAAGCGCATTGTGATTATTGTATCTACCGTATTTTCCATCTCCCTATCTCTCTCAACCCCTTGTTTTTCGTCCGATGCATAAGAAGATGTTGTCCGGTTTCGCTAAGCCTTCGCCAAAAAGAATATCAACAACTAGCCCCGTTATCGCCGTTGCCTGATGAGATGGATCTATGAGAAGGCGGTTATAAGGACAGAGAGACGTAGAATACCAGGACTCTGGAAGTGGCATCAGGCGAGTTCTTCTTTTGGTACATGACTCCATTCTCACAGTCGCCCTCATTCTCACTGCCGCCCCCTTCTCACCACCGCCCCTTTCTCACCACCGCACCATTTCCACCACCGCCCCCGGTGTTGCCTCCTACACCCCTGCCATTTCAACGCATAAACCAGGTACTTTGCGTCGAACCTGCCGTGACGCCGTGAATCCTCCACCGTGGTTGATATAGTTCTGTGCCATACGAGAGAATAATATCTTAGCGACAATACTTATCCCTTTGGTTAAACCATGGACCTTTAGTTTTAAGGAGGAATAAAATGATCGCAAATAGGATCAAACTACGACCAACGCCAATTTGGTTACGTTTGAGTTCTCGGGGTGGTTTATAATCCTCGAATCCCAAAGTAAGTTTGCCCTCAAGCATGGTAAGGATACGAATACTTCATAAAAGTGATAAAGTTGAAAAGAGACCTATTGACTTCGAAAATCCGGTGGAAGCGGCATTTGGCAATGTGGGACGAACTGGAGATCGAATATGTTCCCAGCAACTTCGTCGAGAACACATCAGGATGCTAGCCTCATTATCATTGAAGTGAAGAAGAATGGATTTCCCCACGGCGCCTCACCTCAGCTTGTCAGCTACTTGGGCATAGTATCAGCGGCCAGACGGGAGCAAGGGAATTCGCGTGCTGTGGCGTGTAACGTAGCAACTATAGAATGTCAGCTTTAGCATACCAGCATCGGAATTACCAGTGGTGACGGAAGACGACAAGAAAGCACTGGCAGCAAGAATTGACGGAAGACCAGTGACAAGAAATATCCATAACAAGAATACCACCACAGTAACAAGAACCGCCCCAACAAGAATCCCCGAAACAAAACACCAGTAGCTCGATCAAGCCGCAAAGACAAGTCTAACGAACAGGATCCGTGAATCTATCAGCGGATGAACTATAAAACCAATGGTTTGCTTGACCTTGTTGAATTGTTGATATTTGTTTTCTGTCGTCTGGAGAAATTCTTGGATCAGAGTTATGATAGAGACATCTTTTAACTCCCGCTTGACACAATCATCTGCGATGATAGGATGGCATATTAGGGGATGAGAAGCCCTACCTCATTATGTCTGTCTTCACCTGAAGGTGCCAGCTATGTAAGTTCGCATCCATCATCCTAATGGCTATAGATCTATTGTCGTCCTTCAGCCCATAAATCATTCTACCACGGCCAACATATCACAGACACAAAAACATCACTTCACACTCGACAAACCCCCAGCAATCCAAAGTAGCGAAATCGACAATTTCACAAGCAAAGAAATCTATCTATCTCCCCACCAAACATCAAAAAGATGAACTTTATATACCCCATCCCCCCATGTTCACATCATCATTTACATGCATGCATTCACCCCCCTCCCAAAAACGCCAAGTCCACTCTCCCCTCTAGGCTTTAGACCCTATCTAAAAGCCCCCTGCTCTCCAACAACAACACAATCTGATGCACAATACTACGCACATTCGTCTTCTCCGCATCCACCACCAGATCCGCCGCCGTAGGCGCCTCATACGGATCATCCACGCCCGTGAATCCCTTAATCTCCCCCGAGCGCGCACGCGCATACACACCCCTACGGTCCGTCTTCTCCGCATACTCGAGGCTGGTCGCCACATGAACAAGGTAGAAATCACCGTACTTCCCAACAAGCTCACGCGCATGCTGACGCGCATCCTCGTACGGCGCGATCGGGGCCGCGATAACAGCAGCGCCCGCCTTGGTTAGCTCAGCTGCGACAAAGCCAATACGCCCGATGTTGCGAGTGCGGTCAGCGCGGCTGAAGCCGAGCTCGGAGGAGAGCTCGGCGCGCACCGTCTCGCCGAGAAGGAGGGAGACGGAGCGGCCGCCCTGCTGGTTCAGGGTTACCTGGAGGGCGCGCGCGATGGCGTCCTTGCCCGAGTTCTGGTATCCGGTGAGGAAGACGGTGAAGCCCTGCGCGGAGCGGGGCTTGTGGGTGTCGCGCAGCACCTTGACGACTTCGGGGTAGGAGAACCACTCTGGGATCTCGCGGCCGGAGCGCAGGCGCGAGCGCAGCTCGGTGCCGGAGATGTCCAGGGTGCGGATGCCCTTGGCGACCTCGTCGACGGGCTTGTACTCGTCCGAGTCAGGGAGGTAAGTCATCATCTGGAAAGGAACGACCTCGATGCCGAGCTCCTCGCGGTACTTCTCCACAGCGTGCTGCGCGTCGTACGGGCCGTAGAACTCGACGCCCGCGCTGTTCTTGCCGGGGCCGGCGTGGTCACGACCGACGATGAAGTGAGTGGCGCCGTGGTTCTTGCGGATGATGGCGTGCCAGATGGCCTCGCGGGGTCCGCCCATACGCATGGCGAGGGGAAGGAGGCCGAGGACCGCCATGCCGTTGGGGTAGCGCGGGAGGAGGGCCTGGTACACGCGCACGCGCGTGAAGTGGTCGATGTCGCCGGGCTTGGTGAGGCCGACGACGGGGTGGATGAGAACGTTGGCTTGGCGGGAGCGCGCGGCGCGGACGGTCAGCTCGCGGTGGGCGCGGTGCATGGGGTTACGGGTCTGGAAGGCGACGACGCGGGACCAGCCTAGCTTGTCGAAGTGGAGTCTCAACTCGGCGGGGGTGTCTGGGGGGGGAGGTTAGATTTGAGGCGGCAGGATGGGTTTGGGGTGCTTACATCTGAGGGCAACATAGTCGTAGTGCTCGAGCCTGTCGATGGCATCGATCTTGCCACCAATGTAGAACTCCTTAGCGGTCTCGTAGAGGTATTTGACAGCTGGGTGCTCTGGGTCGCCGCCGAAGACCTCCTTGGCCTCCTTTGCCCTGGGGTGGTGTTAGTAGAGGCACCAGGACTGTCAGACGGCGGGCAACTTACTTGTCTGGCTGGTAGATATCATCAATGGTGAGGATGGCAAGGTTGCGGTCGTCACGGAAATCGCGAAGGGTCACTCTTCCGCCGGCCTTGAGGCCGAGATCGGCAATCGACTGTTCGGACGCATCGAGAGTGATGGGCATGGAGAAGAGGTTGCCATCAACAAGGCGGTTCTCTGCAACAACGCTATATAATCAATTAGCCGTCTGCTGTGGTCACCTCATCGTAGCATATACCCATTGTAGTCGGCCTCGCTCATGAAACCTATTTCGAGGGCATCGTTAGTGAACCATTCCGTACCCCGCGTAGTGACCCCGCCACGGAAGTTCTCGGGCTAGAGAGGTGAGAACGACATACCTTCAAGAGGGGAGAAGCCACCGGAGAGGATCAATTCCAGATCGCAAAGCTGCCTCTCGCTCAGGACGAGGGCGGGCAGGGTCTCAGCCTCCGCGGAGAGCTCAGCGTGCCTCGGGGCATCGCGGGCGAGCAGGTCCTTCAGTTCACCTCCGTGTGGTGGGTTGGCCATGATGAGTGTGTGGAGGGGATGTGGTAGATGAGGTGAGGATGGGGTGAAAGAGGATTTTATATAGAAGGAGGAACTGGGTTGAAGTTTCTTCAGACTCTCGACTGGAGGGGGAAGAAGGAAGGAAGGGGAAGAGTAGGTAGGTAGTATATGATATTATATGTGTTGGGGAGTAGTTTCCTACCTGCTTTCGGTACTACTGTACTACGTCCCTCCTGCAGGTATTCCACTCACTGACTCAGGTACCATACAGGCAACAAAGACATAGCCGTGGTACTTTGAATACTTGGACCGTATGGTACTCTACTTCCAAAGTGGTTTTTTGATTTATTGATTTGTCTGGCGGGGCATGTCGTTGGCGCACAGTTTCGCCCAAAGGCGGTCACGTAAATGACGTGCTTTGCTAATTAATTTTTGAATGGGCGCTAGGCCGGAAATCTTTCACTACTCGTCCATATTCCCATACAATACAAAACTAGAAAGCATAGGAAGAACCTAGAGTATACATCGGCGTAATAGATACATATAATAACGCAGTGATATCCTTTGTTATTGGATATAACAAAGGATCCAAGACTACCCCAGACATACGTTATATGATACCATACCGCCTCCGCATGAAAAAAAGAAAAATAGGCCCTTGTGCTGCTATCTTATCTCCACGTGACTGTATATTATTTTTCGGTCTTATCGGCCCCCTCTGCGCGCAACGACCGAGGGCAACCACCCGCCGCCGTCGGCTTAGTACTAACCCACTGTAAGGAAGTTACAGGCCGTACTTGCTTCATCACCACCAAAGAGAAGCCCGAGCAGGTTGAATTAGAGACTTTATCCCGGCGCGACCGTCTCTCTTCACCATGTCTGCCGTCCAGGTCCTCAAGGGCGATGCGCCTACGCAGGCTCGATCATTGGTATGTGCTATCTCCGTCTCTGGTGTCTGGATATTGTTGCGGCAGGTGGTGGCGGTTGCGGAGATGTCCCCCATGTCCTTGCGACCATCGCCACGCCGCCTTGCACACCTAGCGACGGGCGCCCCTGTACCACTTTGAGATAGCCATACTAACGCTCTCGTACAGTTCCGCCAATTGCTCCGCCAGGGAGAGCAGTTCGCCGCATATAACTTCAGAGAATACGCTACCCGGAGGACGCGCGATGCATTCCGCGAGCACAAGGATGAGAAGGACCCGAGGCGCCAGCAGGAATTGATACAGGAGGGGTTGAAGGAGCTGCAGATGCTGAAGGTGCGTTGGGTTCCTGGTTGGAGATGGGATATGTCATTCGTCCGCGGAATAGAGGTTGCCTCGTTTGCCTGGCAATGGGGGGATTATGTTGGGGTGCTGTGAGGATCTACGACGTGCTGAGAATGTGCTGACTGTTCTTTTCAACTACAGAGGCAAGCTACCGTGAGCCAGTTTTTCCAGATTGACAGGTTGGTCGTTGAGGGTGGCAAGTCGGTATGTATAAACTCCTCTGGAAATTACCAACCGAACGGGACTAATACTCTTCCAGGGCAAGCAAAAGGGAAAGAAGGGTGATCTTGCGAGACAAAACGAGACTGGGTAGGTTATATCCCACCTCTACGAAACGTGGATTGTGAACCAGACTAACGCGCAACAGATGGAATTGATTTTCGGCTGCAAAAGCGTATGGGCATTGTTAACTGCGTCTGCGAGGGATATGAGAAGCTCGGCGATTCGGACAAGGGAACCTTGTAAATATATTGTACTATAAATGATCGTCGTGGATGGCATAGATCGTTTGAAGCAGTGGATAGAGTCGCCGCAATACATATCACCTCCACTACCATTACATGCCACTGCCAACCACGACTTTGATAGATATAACGGCGCCTATTGTTTTAATTTATCCATCAAGGGTGCTATGAGATCCCTATTAACAAAATGCCACCCTTTCCCTCCTCTCCCTCCAAACGAACCCTTTAAATGCGCCCCCAAACAAGTTAGCGCAAAGTTATGAAAGGCACGTGACTTAAATTTATGAACAACCAGGTTGCACATCCTCCGTTGCGCTCGAGGACAATCACTACCCTTCACAGGCTTTAAAAGCAGCTCTTTCACGCTCTTCTATAACGGTGCGCCTTGTAGATATATTAGCGTATCCCACGTATTGTAAGTTAACCTTTCCCTGATCCAATTGACCCCACGTGGATGAAAATATCAATGCGACGAGCATGGCTAACATGCCCCTTCCAGTATCGCTACAGGTCATCAGCGAGTCTCATCTACGACGATCTTTATAAAAGTGACATCGAAGTCTCGTAGCCCTCAAGTGTGTTATAGCTCAGCGACTTTGCAGTTGAGGAGGCTGAGCCGCCGAACTCGCGCCTGCGGACCCGACCTATCTACAAAACACCGAATATACGCGCGACGAGACCGCAACCATGGCGCCTGGAGTACGTCCCCTTCTCAAAACCCATACCCAACCCTCCAGCGCGTCCAGCGCAAACCACACCCCCAGCGCAACCTCACCCCTGACCCCCCGCTAACCCACCCTCAGTACCGCAACAGCAACCCCTCGCGCCGCCAAACCCGCGGCCTCGTCGACCACGACATCTTCGAAGGTCTCCCCGTCCGCAACTGGCGCCGTGACGCCGTTACCGTTGCCCCCCCCCCGCCCACGACCCCTTCGCCACCGTCAAAGACAAATGGGACGTCGAGCTCCCCTGGGGCATGCCCAAAGACGCACCCCTGATGCCGCAACACAGCCAAGACCTCCTCCGCGCCGCGCGCTCGGGGCGGATCTACCAGAAGCGCATGCTAGTTGAGGAGGAGGACATCGAGGCCGACGCGCTGCTGGTGGAGAAGGCGGAGAAGAAGGAGGAGGTGAAGAAGGAGGGGTTTGTGGTGCGCACCTGGAAGTTGGTACCGAAGCATTTGATGGGGCCGGAGATTGAGTATTTGGCGAAGAGGAGGAAGGGGTTGAGGGGCGCGCCGGTGAAGGGCGTGGCGACGTTGACGAAGATGACGTTGAGGAGGACGGATGAGGCGGGTAATACGTATGTGGAGGATGTGGTGGTGCCGGAGGGTCATGTGGTTGAGGGCGAGGTCATCGCGACGACGGTTATTCTTGATCCTGCCGCCGCCGGCGCACCAACTATTGGAGTAGCACCCCCGCAGCCTGTGAAACGCCGCCCCCCGCCCCCGAAGCGCAGAGCTAAAGGCCCCGGTCGCGGACGTAGGAAGAAGCTACCCCTCCCCCCCGCAGCGCACCCGCCACAGTCGGTGCAGCGCAAGTTCATGGCCAAGCCGCCGAGGCGCCAAAGCAGGAGCCAGCTGTCGACGCGAACGGTGTCAAGATTGAGCCTAGCGCGACGCCCGCTGCTGGAAACGAGGACACGGACATGGGCGATGGGTCGATGGCGCAGTCTGACGATGAGGGCGAGGGAGAAGGAGAGGGAGATGATCGCTCCGAGGGCTCTGATGACGAAGACCAAGATGGTGAGGGTGAGGGAAGTCAGACGCACGACCAGGACGACGATAACCGCATGGTTCTCGACAACCTCCCCCCCGAGCCGAAGGTTCCAGCCCCCAAACCGGCCATCTCGGGCGACTTCCCCGTCGAGACTGCGCATGGAGGGTTTGGCGGACAAGTCGGCGGACAGGGACCTACGACGAGTGGTAGCCCGTTGAAACATGCGTTCACGCCACAATCGTACTCGCCGACCCTAAGCGCGGAGGGTGGAGCGGAGAATGCGCCTGCGGATGCCTTTGGGGGGGATCAGTTACAGGGGCATTTCGAGCAGCAGCAGGCGTTCCATGAACAGGACCAGCAGCAGCAGCAGCATCAGTGCCCTGAACCCCAACGGTACCAAGAACACCCCCACGACGCAGCAGCAGCAGATACACCCTCAGCCTTCGACGTCAGTGCCACCGATTTCGCAGGTATGCTCTCGGACACCCCACCACAGTTCAGTGAGCAGCAAGGGGAGGGAGGGGATGAGATGTTACTTGATTCTGTGCAGGGACATGATGAGCATCAGCTGCCGGATTTGTCGGATTTCGATCCGCATGCTTCTACGGAGGCGCAGGGGGAGCAGGGAGTTGGTGGGGAAGAGGGGGGGGAGGAGAAGTTTGAGGATCTGTTGGGGAGTTTGGAGGAGCATTTGAATGATGGGAGTGGAGAGGGGGAGGGGCCTATGGCGCTGGTTGGTGTGGAGGAGGCGGAGCCGGTTGTGGAGGTGGCGGCGGATGAGGTTGCGCCGGCTGCTGTGGCTGAGGAAGCACCAGATGCTGCTGTGGTAGCTGAGGAGCAGAAACCGGTTGAAGAACAAAAGATGGAGGAAGCACCCGCTGCTCCTGCACCAGAGGTCATTGAGCCTGCATCTGCCCCCGCGGAACCCGAGACCGCGAGTGCCGAGGCGAAGGATGCGGAACCAGCTGTAGTGGTGGAGGTAAAGGAGGTCGCCGTTTTGCCAGCTAAGGAGGCGGAGAGTGTCGTCCCTGAAGCACCGGTCGCTGTGGAGGCGGAGGAGCCGGCTGCGGGTGTGGTTGAAGAGCCATCTGCGCCTGTGGAGGTCGAAGCACCTGCTGCTGTTGAGGAGGCGGTAGTGGAGGCGCCATGTGTGGTTGAAGCGCCTGCTATTGTCGAGGAAGCGACAGCAGTAGTACCAGACGTTGTGGCGCCGGAGGAGGCGAAGGAGGAAATGAAACAGGTTGCGCGGGAGACGACACAGGAGCCTGAACCAGAGGTCGCGAAGGAAGTTACACCTGAAGCTGCCAGGGAGGGAGAGGCGGTGGAAGTAGCGCAGGGAGAGACGAAGGAGAAGGAGGGGCAGGCTGCTGAGGAGGAGAGTGCTGCTGCGTAGATATTCTAAGATGGGGGTGTTGTTATGGTATATGTGGGGGGAGGGGATGATGTTTATTTATTTTTTGGTGGGAGGAGTAATTAGGGGTTGGTGGGGGGGAAGGTGTATGTAGTAAATTTGGGCTATTTATTCCGGAAGCTGTTTTATGTGTGGCTTCGCTGTGTGTGGTAAGTCCGAGCGAAGCCATCTTTGTTTCGTTAATACTTAGTTATTTCTGGTCAGATTATGGGAAGTATCAACGAAGCCATTTTTGGCTGTACTGGCGAGGGCTCACAGCCACCTGGTCGCGTCTTGGTGCAATGCGAGATGGGCATCTCGCGCTCCTCAACGATGGTCATCGCGTATATGATGCGCAAGTTGGGTAAGGGCCGTGACGAGCTTTTGGCGCAGCTAAAAGACATATGGCCGCGGGCGAGACCGAATTCCAACTTCATGGCGCAGTTGGAGATCTGGGAGAAAGTCGGGTATGATGTGTGGGAAGATGAGGCCGGGGAGGTTCCCAAGCCGGAGTATGCAGCGTACATAGCACAGAGAGCAGCCTACTTGAAGGCGCGAGGGTTGACGGGCGATGAGGGAAAGAGGCCCTGGACCTTCGTGATTTATAAGTCTAGGTTTAGCATTATACCATTTTCTTACACCTCTATCAAGACATTGGCTCCGTATTCGAACGATGTAATTACATTTTCAGACGCTGTGCACAATTTACAAGTGCATGGTTACTCTCCTCGTTAGCCACGGTCACAACAACCCTCCTCATCAGACACGGCCACAGCAACCCTCCTCGTTATACACGGCCACAACAACCCAACCTCCCCCCCTCAAGCTACCGCCCGCAACCTACTCGAGTATCTCTCAAACCCTCAAATCGCCCACACGCCTCTAAAACAAGCAACGACGACAACTCCGCCCACCCCTTCTTCCCGCCCTCCTCCCTCCAACTCTCCCCCTCCAACCCCCAAATACGCGTCTCTCTCCTCTTCACTCCCCCCCAGCGGCACCACAACCCCCGCATAGCAGAACAGAATCGCATTCATCAACAACCTACACACCCTCCCATTCCCATCCACAAATGGATGGATATTCACAAACCGATGCGCAAACCTCCGCCAGCGCGAACGGATACAGAAATCCCGCTGATTTCGCAAAATCGATAGCAACGTTGTAGTCGTGCACTAGAGTGCGAATGAGGCTGGGGACACCGGTATAAGGAGGGGAGGGCGTGAGGCCGGCGTGGACGGAGACGAGGCGATAGAGGCCGGCGTAGGGGGTGTGATCGTCGAGGGGGAGGTCGGCGCAGAGGATGAGGTGGGTGGTGAGGAGGTGGGATGAGGTGAGGCTCGGAGAGGAGGGAGGAGAGGAGGTAGGTCCATGCTGTGGCGTGTTGGGTGATTTCCAGACGGCTGCGATTGATGGTTTGGTGACTGGCGGGCAGGTTCTGGTGGAGGAGGTGGGTGCGTGTTGCAGGGTAGTTTGGGTGACTGTCGAGTATCTCTGAGGCCACAGTAACCCCGGTGAAGACGTCTTTGCAGAGTCTTTCTGTAGATCCAGCTTTCTCAATCATATTTGAACCGAAAATCATTGTAGCCATAGTGTCGATGCTATGTTCCTCGTATGCTGTTTTCCGGGCCTGGCTCAGGTTCTCACTTTCCATCATCTCCCGTACCTCCTCGAAGAAGCTGCTGGTTTTCTCGAATAAGTCGTCGGGGTCTTTGTCAAGTTGCTTCGCGGCACCTTGCGCAAGAAGTTCCCATGCGGGACCGGCGACTCTCCTCTCAAGATGAAGATGGGTTCTGGATATGACTATTATAGCCTTAGCAAGATAACTCTGAAAGTCCTGGGAATGAATACCTCGTGAAATGCTATAGATGCCGACAGTAACAATTCATGAAACAAAGTCCCTCCATGACAGAGAACAGCCTTTTATATGAGTCAATCATTCAGAAAAAAGGCAGGAACGAAGTCGTCCATGACCTAAAATAGCCGCTGTCAGGTTCGAAGCTAGTAAAATAAGCTCGAAACCTTAATATTGCTTTAGTCGCAGGAAGCAACAGCCCCTACAAAAATGGCTTCACTGTGACATTCGGAGGTTTTAACAACATCAAAATTATGTGTGCAGCTACTTATAATGTATAGCACCCTCACCGCAGCAATTTTGTTCGGACCGCCACTGTTCGTTAACCTTGGCGTTGGAGGAGGTGTCAGCTTCTTAGCTGGTCTGGCATTACTCTGCTCTGTCGGCTGTTACGCTCTCTACTATTTCGGCGGGAACTTGAGAAAGAGAAGTAGGTTTGCCGTCGCATAATGGTGTAATAGCACATCGTCGAGGTCGAATTTTTAAATTGTTTGTTACAATATATAGAAGGGTTAGAACGGGTATTATTTTCTGGGGGCGCAGGTTTAATAAAATTGCGGAGTAATAGCTTGGTTTGTATAGAACTCTTTTTAATATAAATTCCCTTTGTCCTTGTCTCTGAACTAGTTCTAAATACGTAAAATAACCATCGATTCGCATCGATGAAATCGCAGACGGTGCGCATAAAGACAAGCATATCCTGATGTTTATTATCGAGCGTTTCAATCCACAGTGGTCAGGCTTAATGGTGTCGGTAAGTACTGAGATGACGGCGGGGTGATTTTGTTGTCTTCGAGGATTTCTCGGGTATAAGTGCTTTGAGAGTAGCCAATAAAGAGGCCTGGGAATACCTCCGAGGTGGGAAGCAGCCCAATAATCCATTGTTGATAAAAAGAAACTACCTCTGTAAATCTCGTCGATATGTTAAAGAGGTGATTATGGGATGTGTACCTTGTTGGATAACGTAGGTCGTCGCCATACCGGCTACATGGCCATACCGGCTATAAGTACCTTTACATATAAATTTATATATAAGGGTACTTAAAGTTGCAAAACTTAAAAAACTTAAATAACTCCACTAATAAAAATCTTAAGGCTTAGCTGTTCGATATTTAGGATCTTTATATAAGTGTTTACTTGGTATAAAACACTAGTTACACTAGAGCATTATTACATAAGTTATTAGTAGTTTTCAGTTTTACCATATAAAATTTTAGTACTATAAATCTTAACCTACTAATAACTCCCTAATTAGGCTAGCTTACATGTTAGCCTAATAGGGAGTTATGTATGTATATATAAAGATCTTAAGTCTAAGAGGGCTAAGCTATATCAAGCTTATTTAAGAAGTTATTTTGTTAGAACTATGTTCCTAGAAGTACGCTACATAGTGTAGTCTGTATACCGCTAGGCAGTATATATATGGCTTCGCACCTATAGTTTACTTAATTAAGTCGTTAAGCTCCAAGTTTGTGCTTAACAGGTTATGAGCCTAGGTTAAGCACATGATGCGCTATGCTAAATGCACATAATTAACAGCTTCCCTTATAGCTCTCATAGGAGAGAGTAGCTATGTTGTCTAATCGAGCAAGGGATTCGCTGTCGCAGAAAGCCTCCTTATGACTACCATTACATAGCAGAAGCAGCACCAATTACAAGATGAGTATAGGGTGTTACAATTATAGCTTACGGTTGTTACGGTTGTTACGGGTGCAGCCTTAGCCACCAAGGCTACAACCGCTAAGCGGACAACTGTATATTACGAGGAATAGCCTCACCTTCCTTCCTTCTTCTTCTTCTTCTCTCTTTAGATTCAATCTAGCTTATTATTCTCCGGACTGGCTTCTTGACCTCCATGACCATCGTAACATAAGATTGAATCTCACCTTTCTTTTGCTCTCTGAGCCTGAACCTTGATACTGAAATTTGAATTCCCTTCTTTGGAAACCCTACAACCATATCCTAAAGTCGATTCCAGAACACCACAGAACACACCAGAAACACCAGAACACCACAGACTTCATAGATCAGACCTTTCACAATGCTCCCTCGACAAGGAATATAGCTGTGAGGGAAGTGCGCTCCTCTTGAGTGGCTCCTACAGTCGACAAACTGCGCAATAGGGCCTTTGGCGATACGAGTCTGATCTACTGAATATGAAAACTGAAAGAATAGCAAAGCTGCTATGGCACACACAGCCAAAGAAAAAGCCAAGATGGCTGATTAAAACCCAGAAGACTATGAGTCTATAAATGAGAAAACAACCTTGGCAGATGAGTCTGAGAAGAGAGATGAACTTCAAGATGACTTCCTCGAAGCCCAAGAAGATTTCAAGAGGATGGGCAAAACAGCTCAAGAAAGACACCAGTCTATACTATCAAACGGCCACCAGATGAGGAATTGGAATGTCAACACCTACACTGAATTCCAAAAGCTGTCACCTAGCAGCCAAGAGTACGCCTGGTCAATGTTGAAAGCCATTATGAAGGACTACCTCATCGTCGGTCAAGCTTCTGATGCTACTATTGCAGAGCGAAATGATGCTATTCTACAGCTCCAAGAAGAAATTCAAGACAAGGATGAAAAGATTACTGAACTGCAAGGCATTCAAAAATATCTTGAGAATACAGCTCCTATTCGCAATGCAGCACCTCGCCAGTCTGCTCACATTCCGGATCCTCCTATTCTTACGGATGGGATTGAACCAGCTTTTGAAGACTGGGTTGTGAAGATCCGACTCAAGCTGGAAGCCAACATCGACCACTTCCAAAATGACAAGATGCAGATGAGTTATCTCCAAAGCAGACTAGGAGGACTCGCAGTTCGCCATGTGAACCCAAGGCTTCGCATTACCTCACCAAACATGCTTCAGTCAGCAGAAGAAATCCTCCAACTCCTCGAGAAAGTGTTTAGCGACCCCGATAGGAGACACACTGCACAAACTGAGTATTGCAAGTTATACCAAGAATACCTTCACAACATTCTGGGCTGAATTCCAGAGACTCACTGCAGAGCTGGACTACTCAGAAGAGACCTTGCTTGACGATCTCTGGTTTAAAATCAACCAAGGCATGCAGAAAGCCCTTGTTGCAGAAATGGGAGCTACCACCCTACATGAATTCGCAAAGAAATGCATGCTTGTGGACCAAAACCTACAGAGAATTCAAGAAAAGGAGAAGAGAATGAAGCCACAGCCGTTCGCCTACCAGAAGCAGAGTGGCCAGAGCCCTACTGCTAGTACTGCTGTTGAAATAGTGGCACCACAGAAGAAGCTCTACCGCTCTCCCCACCAAGATCCTGAGAAAGAATCGCTCATGAAGCTTGGCAAATGCTTCCATTGCCACGAAAGCGGCCATCGTGCTCATGAGTGCCCTCAGAAACAGAAAGGCAGACTCAATGAGATCTCTGATACTGAGGATCCTACCCAGTATGAGTCGGGAAAAGAGTAGCCTCTAGAAAAGATGTCGCTAAAGGTTCTACAGCAAGAATTGCCTCCTCTGCCTCATCATTATCCCATTTCGACTATGACACTCCATTCTTAGCTACCTGCAGAATAGGAAGGAATTAAATTGTCATGCAAGCCTTAATGGATAGCAGTGCAACAGGTGGAAGCTTTGTGAATGCTGTTGACGCAAAACGAATTTGTGAAATTAAGAACATCTCTCCTATCCAACTTATAAAACCAAATAACATTGAAGGATTTAATGGAGCTGCAGCACCTACAGTTACGCATGCTATATACCCTCGACTACAAATTGGAGATCACGTTGAAAGTCTATGCCCTCTATTCATTACTACTCTTGGGAAACATTCTATCATTCTTGGGAAAGCTTGGATGAAGCAGCATGGAGTCACAACTCAATATGGTAAACGACCAAGTCATCTTTACAAAGGGTCACTGCCAGCACACTACACCAACAGACACTTTAAAAGTGAAAACTACAAGTCCCCAAGCTGAGAAGGAAATACAAGATAAAGAAGCTCCAAAGCCAGCCCTCCAACCTCATTATAAGAACAAGAACAAATGCACTGTTACAATGATTGGAGCTGCACCATTCAATATGCTTCAGAAGCAGAAAGGAGCTAAGGTTTTTGCAGTATCATTTAAAGATATATGTAACACTGACTTCTAAACGATAGAAGACACAGATGTTTCTTGCATAAGGTTGACTTGACAGAGGAGGCAGGGGATTAGACACAAAGGCTTTCCAAGTAACATGTTACAGTATTGTAAAGAATACTATATTGAGTTGAGCACGAAGCTCCTATCTAAGGAAATACTATCTACTTATATAGTGGCATCGTGCCTCATGGGTAATCTGGATAGTTGGCGGATAGCTAGATATTCAGGATAGTTCGTGGATAGCTCAACTATTCAATATCCACTAGTTTCTACAACTATCCATTAGCCCCGTCACATGGCACAATAGTGTAGTCTGTATACTACTAGGCAGTATATATATGGCTTCGCACCTATAGTTTACTCAATTAAGTCGTTAAGCTCTAAATTTGTGCTTAACATATTTAACGTTTAAGTATTTGCCATGTAATGTGCTGTAGTGTTGAGTTTTGGTAGGGTTAACAAAATAGTTAGTATAGCTATATAGTAGGTTTAGCCAACTATATAGCTAAGGCATCAACACCCTACTACCTGACCTACATTAGGTAGTAGGTTGTTGATGCCTTAGGTGTTAAGATTAATTAAGCGTGTGTGATAGGACATGGATTCCCCCTAAAGGAAGCTATTTAAACCTCTACAAAAAAACTAAGCTGCTAAGCAGCTACTAAATGCTACAAAGTCCCTTAAACTATGTAATGGTGGGTGCACCAGATGTGAGAATCTAGCCACCCAAGGAAGGGATGATTTTTGTAATGGTGGGTGCACCAGATGTGAGAATCTAGCCACCCAAGGAAGGGATGAATTTACTAAGACAACACACTGTCTTAGAAAACAGAGCCAAAGGGTCGTAGCTTAGACTATTTCACAACGCAGCAATCAGGTGTGTGATGTAGTGAAGTGGTTCAGACAAGTTGCAACAAATGTTGAGTCTGGGAACTCAGGGGTAAGTCAGAGGTTAACACCTCACTGACTTTTCAGAAACAAGGAGTAACAAGATGAATGCTTGGAAGCTTGGAAAAGACGTGGAAGTATGTGATAGTCGATTTACTGTATTGTCTGCTTGCCCTTTCTTAAGGAAAGGGCAATCCTATTTATGCTAAAGGAATGTAGTTCTCTCATTTTCCAAGACTTTCCATGACTTACCAGGCTTGGTAACTGTAGTCGACGTAAGAGAATCCCATAGAACCATCTCTTAGGTTCGTAGCCTATAGGAAGTAAAAGGAGGTCCAAGGTCAGAGTACCCCTATAGACAAATTATGTCATAGACAAATTATGTCATAGACAAATTATGTCATAGACAAATTATGTCATAGACAAATTATGTCATAACATAACCAATCTTGTGGGTAACTAAAGAGCGATGACATGTAATGAATCATAGAGGTTCGTAGGAGCTTTTAGAGCTATCGTTCATGCTCCTAGGCCTCTAGTTGGTAGAGATATGTCATGTGGTAGTATGAGTGATGTCATGTAATGGATCATTTAGGGTTGTAGAGATATGCTATGTGGTAATATCGGCCCAGTAACTAAGGAGCGATGATGTGTAATGAATCATAGATGGTTGTAGCAATCGTTGAGTAGTATTGCTCTTGTTGTTGGTGTGATAAGCCAAAATATGTATAGTGACTTGTAGGTTTGAGGAGGAGATTTCCAAGTTTGCTCTTGAGTTTGATAGCAAACTGAGTGCAACGAATGTCAGTATGACAATTTTACCAAGACAACACACTGTCTTAGGAAACAGAGCCAAAGGGTTGTAGCTTAGACTATTCCACAATGCAGCAATCAAGTGTATGATGTAGTGGAGTGGTTTAGACAAGTTGTACAAATGTTGAGTCTGAGAACTCAGGGATAAGTCAAAG